TTTCAAAGTCTCCACTTAGAGCCGGTAAGATTCATGCTCTATAGTCCTCCCTACATCTCCATGAGCTTCCCAAGGTTTCCGAGGCTCCCCACTTGGACCTTTCCTTCCTTCTGTGCAGAACCTTGTAGCATGTTGACGGTGCTCCAGGGCTTCGGGTGATAGAACCCTAAGCCCCAAGCCCCAGACCCCAAACCCTAAACCCTGGGTTTATGGGCTAGGAGGGCTGCCCTGGGTTTATGGGCTAGGAGGGCTGGGGCTTGGGGCTTGCCCGGCTGTTTGTGTGGGCGCAGGTACGCCTTGCAGTTCCGTGACTCCTTGGATGGACAGTACCTTGACAAGTACATGAGGCCCGGGCAGAGCCGCTACAGCGCCAATGATTTCGCTAAGATGCTTATTAGACTTATTAGGTTATCAGTTTGCTTTGACGATTGAAAAGGACGTTAACATCTCAAATCCCCCAAAACCCTGAACCCTGAACTCCAGCCTGTACGGAGTTTTTCGGGGGATTCGGGGGCGTGGATTTTGAGGGGCACTGCTCCGTTTCAAGCTTGGGGGCGTGGTATTCGGGTTTAGGATTTAAGGTTGAGGGCTGCGTATGATCTGGGGTTGAGCTTAAGGTTTCCAGATCGTAGGCTTGTGAGGCCAACGTAGCCCCGAACGCCAAACACCCCCAAAACCTCCTAAGCCCTAAGCCCCCCAACACAGCATGGAACCATAATCCCCCGAGCCCCCTACGCCCCCTGAAGCCCAGAAACTTCAGGTCCGCCCGAAAATTGAAAAGTATTTGTTGGAAGACAAAGGGTCTAGGGTTTAGGCAGTTATGTTCCTACTCTGTGCCCAGGGTCATCCCCAGAGTTTGGGTTTAGGAAGTTGAGCCGCTTCGGCATGACATGGCCGATGCACGACATCTAAATCCTAAATCCTAACCCTAAACCGTAAACCCTAAAAGGGGTGTAGGGTTAAGGGTCCTCCAAGCAGCCCTTGACCCTCTCAACTGCCAGGATTAAGGGAAAGGCCGCACGAGTACACCCTGCAGCAGTCCAGGGATACGAGGCTGGATTTCAGGGTTTAGGGTTTGAGGCCTTTAGGGTTCAGTATTAGTTACATGCTCATGTTGTATTAGCTGTGAACGGATGGAATCACACATACAGGCAATTGGTTGACCTTATACACCCTTAACCCTGACGTTTAGGTTCCCAGCCCTCATCCTATCCTAATCCCTTAGCCTAATGAAGTTGTATGCTCTCTGCCCGAGCCGTATAAATATCAAGAACAATACACCTTTGAACCCCAAACCACAAGCCCCCCGAGGCCTCAACCCTGAGGCCCAAGCCCTAAACCTTAAATCCGAAACCCCTAGACTCTTAAGCCCTAAACCCTTCCTCAAGCGTAGGCCCTTGTACCCTTAACCTTGCCCCGACTTCAGCGGTTTGGGGCTCTGGGCTCAGGGTGTCGGGCTAGCAGTGAACTTGGGTCTTCTCAGAATTGCTCTGATTGCTCTTCCTTCAAACCCTACGAACCAACAGAAAGCATGTTCCGTCATATGAACCCCAAACCCGAAACCCCGAAACCCTAAGACCTGAACTCTCATGACCTAGGATGCCATGTAGCATCCTTAACTCAGCTTTTCTTGAGGGGTAGGTTCCCTTATAGCCAGCAAAGTCCTTGTTCCCCATTTCTTGGGCTGTAGGATAGTCACCAAATGGGCACTTTTGTTTTGTTTTTGTTTGTGTTGCTCTTATCAACCCTACACCGCCAGAATTTATGGTTTAGGGTTTGGGGTTCATAGCGCAGAAGGGTATTGAGTCAGTACCGGAATTGTTGTTTTCGTCTTTGTCGGTCTTGCTCAGCCATTGCATTTTGGCCGGGACCTGTTGTCTAGAGACTGAGACCGGTCGGAATTACCCTAAACCCGAAACCCGCACCCCCAAACCCCAAACCCCAAACCCCAAACCCCAAACCCTAAACCCTAAAACCCTAAACCCAAACCTTTCTAAACCTGGATCCCTGGACTCCACGGGAACCCAGACCTGAAAAAGGCAAACTACCGCCACTTTGCGCACACCAAGACGGGTCAGAAGCAGGTCTGGCTTAGGGCGGCTTTAAGGCTTGCGGGCTTCAGAGGCTTCTGCTAGGAATTGGGCTGAGAGTTGGGTGGGTTTATAGGGCTCGGCGTTTAGGGGGGATTGCGGAGGGGCTTTGTGCAGCTTGACATATAAGCACAACAACTTCTGACAATCCAAATTAGCACAGGTATAGGCTCCAAAACCCCAAATCATGGGCCCTGCAAGCCCTCCCTAGCCTAGGGCCTAGATGATGCTCCTTCGGACTTAACAAAGCACAGATCCCTGAAGCCCTAAATCAACGGCAGCCTCGCCAGAAGCCACGTAGTTCCCCTGGCCCGGCAATTCTGAACTAAACCTTGCATTTCCTGGATTTTGGAGTACTAGACTTTGATACTTTTTTTGGTTCTATGTTCCTATTATAGCTACTTCTACCTGAAAAGTACATATGCTTTTTCCAGTTTTTGCTCCAAAGTAGGGTTGCTGATCCCCGAACCCGGTACTGATCACTGCTTTTTTTTCTGGGGGGTGATTTCTTCCCCATAGTCTCTTCCTTAAAAGCTTAGAAGGGGCCACTGATGCATCTTCCAGGACCCGGCTTTCTCGCCACTCTTCTTCCCAGCCGCCTGGCCATAACCACTGTCGCGGAGCCTTGGGGCCTGAGGGAGGACGCAGGGGCTTCCAGAAAACCGTCACAACCCCAAAAGACATCAAAATAAATTTCACCTTGGAACCAGGTCCCACGCTGCTGTGCAGCATGAGACGGCGAGGATAGGGCCCTCTCTGAACCCGAAACGCTACAGAGCCCCAGCCAAGGTAGTCCAAGGAGGGATGCAGGAGTTGGTGAAGCAGCTTGATGTCCAGGCAACCTTAGGGCTTTGAGGGTTTGGGTCCCGAGGGCCACGCAGGTTCAAGGTTGCGTCAGGGCTGCACAGGACTTTAAGATGGGGTGTAGGGTTTGGGGTTTCAGGTCTTTAAGGGGTTTGAGGACTTCTAGGATCAGGACCTTTTGGTTTGGGACTTGAGGCTTGTACAAGGTTTCGCACCCAAACCCCCCCCCCCCCTCCCCAACACAACACCCTAGGTTCTAAACCCCAACGCGCTCTAGATGTATTGCTTAAGTAATCGGGTACTGAGCCCCGAGAAAGGGTTGGTGGGGGGGGGGGTAGCGAACTGGACGCTTCTTGCAACCCCAGGCCCGAAGCCCTGAAGCCCCTGACCCTAAAACCCTAAAACCCTAAAACCCCAAAACCCTAAACCCCTAAAACCCTAAAACCCTACCAAACAGTCGTGCGAAGGAGACTGAAGACCTGAAGTGCGAGAGGGCTTAGGGAAGTCCTGGGGAGTTTTTTGTTGGGTTACGTAGGTTCCGGTTGCACACCTACGACGTTCGCCGGCTTTTCCCTTCTTGGGTTTCCGATGCTGTTGTCTATGCATTTTCTGGGATGCCCCGCCTGGAAAGCCAGGCATCCGTCCAGAAGTCAGAGCCTAAATGGCCGCAGCCAGGGCGAAGGGGCCCAAAGGATTCAGGGCTCCCGAATTCATGGGGGGGAGAGGCGGGGATTTGACCAGGCCCCAAAAGCCCGAAAAACTCCAGATGATCCATCAGCGGATCGAGCACAGCAGCGTGCACCACAAAAGTCAGCCCTTGAAGCCTGAAGCCCCCTTGAACTGCTAAGCCTGTTCAGCGTTCGGTTTGTGTTTTTGGTTTTTGTCTCAGGGCATGTGGGGTGTATGGCGCTCTTAGTACTGACAGCTACTGACAACTGGACAACTGTGTCCGCACTCTTGCCTTCGAGGGTCTGGGGGTTGCTTGACGGGTAGCTGCTGCAGGGGTGACAACTCCCGAGGCGGGATATGGTAATATCGGGTTGCCCTCAACTCTGAGTTTTGTCCCCATGAACCTGCGAGGACCAGCAGCGACTGGTTTCAGGTTCAAACGTCCAAAGAGTTTCCTCCGAGGGTCTCGTTGCAGCGGTGGCAGGTTGAGCGCGTCATACCTTCGAGATGCCCCCGAATACCCTCGAGTGATGCCTGATCCAGGTCCAGGTGTTGAATGTGAAAGTTCGACCCGAAAACAGCCATACAGTAAGCCCTAAACCCGGCCAGCCTATAAATCATACACCCCCCGTGGCTTGCTTCGAATAAGGCCCCCGCAGAGCGATGATGCTGTCCAGGCGCAGCTGAAGCCCTGAGCCCCACATGCTCTGAAGATTTATAGGCCTTGAAACATCCTGAAGCCCGGCGCCCCAACTTAGAGCTCAAGAGCTGATTCTGAACCCCGCCTTGCACCCAATGAACCTTTTCGGCTTGGCTCTGAGCCGCACAGGGGGCTTCTAGTTTTGAGAAGGAAGATGCGGCCCCAAAGTTGGCTTCTGGTGCGATTGCTTGGGCTAGAAGTCCCGGCATAGAAGGGGGCAAAGCCGCAAAAGCCCGAAGGCCTAACCCGTCAATCTGCCGGAGTCATGGACTTGGTCAGAAACATCTAAAGCCTAAACCCCACTAAGCCTTGATCCCTAAGCCCCCAAACCCATAATCCATCGTTGAAAAGTTCCAGGGCTTGCAAGGAACCCCACAAACTCACGGCCGGAAGGCGAAAGCGGCTGCACCCCGTCTGCCGCACGCCCAGCAAGGGTGAATGGCTGGAGTATTCTATCATTATATATAGTCTGGCATTGTTCGACTCTTCTTACTGTAATGCTACAGGATTATAATGTGATCACATTATTCTGTGCGCTCCTTTGGCGAATCCAGTCCTGCCTTGAAGAGGTTTCTGCTTTTACAGGCTTTGGAGGAGCGGATCCTTGCCTAGGGCAGGATTTGTGTTTGTGAGGGTTGCAGAGCTCCCAATCCTAAGCCTGAAAAACCGAAACTAAACAACCCCACCTACTGAAGGTACCTCAGGGCTGAGGCCGCTCCCTAAGAACCCGGTCCTGCATGGAGCGGGTGGGAGCTTCTTAAGAACCGCGTGCGGTAATTGCAAAAGCCTGCTAATGTCTAAGCCCTAAAACCCTAAGCTCTACCCAATCCCCAAGGTCACTTTTACGGGCCCCTCCTTCGGGGCGAGCTCCAAGCGGGTTCGGTTTGAAGGAGTTTAGGCACAGAGGGCCTCAGGCGCCCAGCCGACGCCAACCTGGCAAAGCCCAGAAGCCCTAAAACCTGAGCCCTGGAGCCTTGCTGTCTCGAGGTTGGACTCGAACGTTTTTCCGTGCCAGCAGATTCCTCAGCTCCCCATGCAGCAATCCAGGCGCGTGCAAGGGTCCCAAAAATCTGACAGGTAGGGTTCAAAGGTTCTACTCCCCCCCCCCCCCGCCCCGCCCCCCCGTGGTATCCCTCCCCCGCGGTGAGGTCAGGGTTAGCGTGCGACTGTTAAGGGGTCCTTTTGAGGTCACCGCTTGCGTATTCCTAGCTCTTAGCAAGTCCGATAGTTTAGGTCCAAGCTTCATGCTTCTGCAACTTCATTCGGGAAGCTCCCGTCGTTGAACTTAAGGCAGAGGTAACTAGGTTTCCCAAAGCCCCGGTTCCCTTGGCTACCAATGTGGCTCCCTGTCTTTAAACTTGACCTTCCCTTCGAAAAAGGCTCAAATATCTCCAAAGTCCGGGTCCTTGTTCTTTCGACGCTTAAACTCAGGGTTCGCTACAGGTAGGTGTAGCGTGCAGAGTTTAAGAGAAACCACACCACAGGTCGTGGGCTTCGGATGTAGACCGCAAACAGGTATCATGATTGTTGAAACCCTTACACACAGCAGCTGTCCGTGGAACTCCTCCAAGATCCACTGAGAAATTAGCCTCCTGTAGTAAGCCGCATTTTCTTGCTTGAGCACAATGGCGCCCTAAGGTAGTAAAAGGACTCTTCAAAGCCTATAAACCCTATATAAACGGGTAGTAGGTGGTTTTGGGGGGAGGGGACGAGAACCCGAAAACCCCTCAGACGCAGGATCCCCAACGGTGCTATGGACTCTGCCCCAGCCTTGACAGATGCGGGTAGGGATGTCTCAGAGGATTCTTTGAGGGTTTGTCATGGGGCTTAATAGAGGTTTGAAACTTCTTGTGCTGAAAGGTTTTTGTGATTTTGTTTTTTGTTTTTTTTTTGGGGGGGGGGAGGGGAGGGCGGGAGGGGTTCAGGGTTTGTGGGCTTCGGCTAAATTAAGATGGGCTTCGCCATCTTCCGATTTTTTCGTGGACAGCTTGGGATGTTTTTCCTGAAACAGTCCTTAAGAGCGTGAGGACTGCTAGTATAAGGGGGGAGCATCCCAATGGACAGCATTATGCATGTCCGTTTTGTCTGCTAGGCTCCGGCCTTGTATCTGGATTGCCACCAGCTTTAGAGGGCCATCATTTTGGGCAGGCGCAGTTTTCCGCGAGAGCGTTGATTGAGCTCTATATAAGCCCAACAACAATCCCGAGCCCGAAGCCCCACCCTTAAACCCCAGTGAACGAAGCCTTGTGCCCCACCTAGCCCCTCCCTCTCCCCCTTGGTCTCCTTGGAGGCTCGCTACAACCGCCCTTTGAAGGGTTTCCTCAAAACCTAAGCCTCAACCCCTGGACTTAAGGTCTTGCGCGAAGAGAACCGGAACTTTGAACACCTCAAACTCCTTATAAGCACTTAACGCCTGCAAGCCCTTCATAGCCTCTACAGGTAACCCCATAGGCCCGTTCAGATGCATAAACCGTATCCTATAAGCCCCTTAAGCCCCTTTCAGTACAAAAGAGCCATAAGCCCTTCAGCCCTTTAAGCCGTATGAGCCCCACACCCGTACGGCTCCATAAGCCCTACATGCCTTCGAAGCCGTATAATATGCCCCAAGAAGCCTTCAAAGCCCTGCACACCCCATAAAACCAAGCCCTAACAAAAACCCTGGATTAAACCCCAACTAAACCCTAAACCCTAGACCCTAGACCCTAAACCCTAAACCCTAAACCCTACTGAGCCCTGGCTCCGAGGTGCCACCGCAGCTCGTACAGGTGAGCGCCCAGGGCTTTTCAGGCCCCTGGGCCTGTTACACATTATTTTGTCTGAGGGGGGGTGGGGAGGTGGGGAGGTGGGGGTGGGGGTTCGGGGGCTTGGGGAGCCCTTGGGCGGTTTAGGCTTTTTTTTTTCGGTGGGGGGTGTGATGGGTTTTAGGCCTTCGGAGTTGTTTTTGTTTTTTTTGTTTTTTTTGGGGGGTGGGTGGGTGGGTGGGGAGGGGGTTGGGGCCCTTGGGCGATTTAGGTTTTCTGTGGTTTTGGGGAAGGGGGGAGTGTGAGGTTTAGTGCTTTCCCGATCTTTTGAAACATTTTCGGGCGGGGGCAAGGGGGGGGGGGTGGTTTGAAGGGTCCTGATTGAATGGCCACAATCTGGGCGAGGTTCCCGAATCTCTCGCGTAATTAGCTGTTGTTCAGTTCGCACTCGCACCAACTTCAAGCTTGCTGGGTTGAGGATGCGGGTCGGACTTACCATTGGGTTTGAGGCTGCTGGACCAGGGCAGCGAACGGCTTTCAAGTTCCCTTCAGTACGTACTCTGCATTTTTGGGGCTTGCTTTTTGGAGCTTGCATGCTATGTTAAACGGGTACTTGTGTAGGATCGAGGCTTCGCTTGAAGCCCTTTTTGACATCAACAGGGGCCTCGAGCCACGCCTCCTTTCGAGCTTGTCTTCAGGCTTCAAGTCTGGGGGTTTAGGGTTTTTTGGATTTCGGCTTCTCGGCTTCTCGGCTTACAGGTTCAGGCAAAGGGCTGGCTTAGAGGTTCAGGTAAAGGGGTGGTGGGGTTTGAAAGTTTGGGGTCTCGAGTCGGCATACATAGACGAACCTTGGACCCCATCCGCGGCGCACCCCAGGCCCCATGGATGAGAGGCCCCTGCTGCGTTTCGATGTTAGGGTTTTGTTAGGGTTTTGTTAGGGTTTTGTTAGGGTTTAGGGATTTCCTATTAACCCCAGACCCTTCCAGCCCGAGAGCTTGCAAACCTCAGGCCTCAGCTCCTCAGCTGGATGACGATCATACGGGTTGTTCCAATTCAGGGCACCTTTATCCCCTACAGCGCTGTTGTCCTATGCCCCAACCCTAAACCCAACCGAACCCAAGCTTTGGGGCAAGTCTGCCGAGGGGGGGGCTAGAGTTTAGGGTGTAGGGACCTACTTGGAGGCTTCAGTAGGGTTACCCTCAGTCAGCTTCATGACCCCAGTTGGCTACGTATATGAACCTTCAAGTACATCCTCAAATCCCAAGCCCGAAGCCACCTACAGCCCTAAACCCCCAAAACCCTGAAACCCCAACCCGAATCGGAACTCCCCCCGACTCCCCCAAACCTGGCCTAAACCCTGAACCCCACATCCCAACTCGAAGGTTTATGGGGTTTTCCTGTCTTAGGGGGAAGTTGGCGGCCTGTCCTGGAGGCAACTGCCCAAGCCCAAGGGAAGGGCCAAGAAGCAGACGGCACAGACCAAGCGGGGGGCCCGGGTGCAAGTTGAGGTGCCTGGCTTCCCCTCATAGGTCCCGAAGCAAGAGTCTTGCCTGGCCCCCAAGAGGCGCCCAACCCGTCCTCAATGTGTTTTTGTTTGGTCGACCTGGGCCCCGAATTGCCAACTTCCATTATTATTTATGTTTTGTTTGGGGGGGCACCAAGAGTGGGTTTAAGCCACTGTAGTTAGGGGCTGACAGCCTGTGGAAATTTTGGAAGGGTTGAGGAGGGCCTTGACACCCTGCCATTTCCCAGGTTCCCGTATTAGGGTCCCTCATTCAGGGCGCATCCCCGATATCAGGGCCAAGCTCGACGGCAGGGATGCCTTTTGACCGGAGGGGGCGGGGGGGCAGTGGGGGTATTCAGCTCCAGGCTCCTCCTGAAAAACCAAAACCCTAAAGCCTAAAGGCCTGATTCGGATTTGGGGTGCAGAAGCTACCTGGAGTTGTCCTCAAGGGGTCGGGTGTTCCTGTGCGGCTTCCGAGGCAACCCATGCCCATGGCCTTCAACTCTGGTGGAGGCGAGGAAGCCCAGTCAAAGTGCTTGCGGCCTTTGTTCCAAGGATGCACTGCAAGGATTGAGGCGTCTGGATGCTGGGATGAAGGATTCGGTTTCCCAACAGGAGATGTCGTGTCATACGTAGACCAGAAAGCAATTGACCCAAAACCCTCAACCCTAAACCGTAAACCCTATGCTTTACCCTAAGCCCCATGTGACAGGAGTGACTTGGGTTGGCATCCCTGTCGGAACGGCTGCAGCTCAGAGCTGGTTGGGCGCTTGGTCCTGGTTTTACGATCTTTGCAGTCGCCAGACTCCTCCACTGCTCCTTCTGTCTGCCACAATTGCTTCTTCTACTCCCACTTTGACACCACTTCGATTCCAAGTGGTGCTTCTAGTTGTTTTTTCAAAGCTTCAACTGTGTAA